ACCACCACCTCGCCTCGCAGCTCTGGGAGTGTGAGAGACAGAGTACATGTCTGACAGAGCTGTGGGTGTGATGGTGTTTTCTGTTGTGATCCAGGTCTCAGTTAGAGCAAGAAAGTTGAGGGAGAGCAAGGATGCGTAGCTTGAGATGAACTCAGCTTTCGGCACTGCCGACTGGCAATTCCAAAGCCCCCCCGCCACCACTTGCTCGCCATGAGCTGAGAGAGTAGGATAGATGAGGTTAGTGGAGTCACGGGACCTGGGAGCTACCTACTGATTGCTCATTGTCTGCCAGGAGTGCAAGCCACTCCCCTGGCACATAACAGGGCAATTGGCCGAGTGAAACTAAATCACACCTCCCTTACACAGACAGAAACTGCAAAAGCAATAACACTGAAGCAGCCTATAGGTACAGCTAAGCTACTCGTAAAAGCAAGAACAATATACTTATAGCTGAGTCAAGTAGTTTCAGTACCCCTCCAGAAGCCACAAAAATTATTATTATTAATATATAACTATTTCAGACACTCTTTTATTGTAGTCTTTATAATTATTATTATAATAATAATTATTGTTATAATAATTATTATTATATAACTACTTTAGACACTCTTATTGTAGTCTTAATAATAATAATAATAATTATATAACTATTTTTGACACTGTTTTATTGTACAGTCTATTATTATAATTATTATTATTGTTATTATGTAACTATTTTAGACACTCTTTTATTGTTCAGAGTCTTTATAATAATTATTATAATAATAATTAGTATTATTCTATCACTACTTTAGACACTCTTATTGTACAAAGTCTAAATAATAATAATAATAATAATTGTTATTATTATATAACTACTTTTGACTTTGGCCCAATCACAATGTCCCCCTTACGGACTCACGGACTTTGAGGCGCGCTCCCGCGAAGTCCGTGAGGGTTTAGGGCTGTCCCACTGTCACATCGTCAAGTGTTTGAGTCTCTTGCAGACATTTTGAGCTCTTTATGAACCCTTTCCGTAAGGCAGCATGGTATGCTGACTTAGCCTAAGGGAATTACCCCCAAATCATTGCAATGTGACGTTAAACACGGGGTAACCAGTGGACGCATGGAGACGTAAACAAAGAGGTAAACAAAGAGGACATTTACATTTACTCAGAAACATTAAGGGTTAAAAATGGAACAAAAAATAAACATGAAATCAGAAGATATTTATTAATTTATTCATCAAATATTTGATTTTGTCATTGAAGCTGTTTTGACAAAAACGAGTAAATAGATGATATCAGAATCAGAATCGTTTATTGCCAATGTATGTAACATACAAGGAATTTGTCATGGCAGGTGGTGCATAACATTAGACAATAACATTGAACAATAAACAACAATCAACAGTGCAAGAAATAGTAACATATTAAAATTTACAATAGAATTTAAAAGAATATAAAATAAAGTGCACGACAAACAGATAACAGGACTGTAAACAAGTGTGATGTAAAAGTGACAAGTGTATTTAAATATGAAGTGATGTGCAGGAGAGTAGTAGGGAGGGAAGGGAATGTCCTGGGGATGACAGAGTCAGTGGGGGACCCGGGCTCTGTTAATGAGCCCGATTGCAGATGGGAAGAAGCTGTTTGTGTGGCGTGAGGTCTTGGTCCTGATGGACCTCAGCCTCCTACCAGATGGAAGGGGCACGAACAGTCCATGTCCAGGGTGAGAGGGGTCGGCTGCAATCTTTCGTGCTCGCTTCAGGGTTCTTGAAGTGAACAAGTCCTGGAGGGACGGCAGATTGCAGCCAATCACCCTCTCAGCAGAGCGGATGATGCGCTGCAGCCTGCCCTTGTCCTTGGCAGTGGCTGCAGCGTACCAGACTATGATGGAGGAGCAGAGGATGGACTCAATGATGGCTGTGTAGAAGTGCACCATCATTGTCTTTGGCAGGTTGAATTTCTTCAGCTGCCTCAGGAAGTACATCCTCTGCTGAGCCTTCTTTGTGATGGAGCTGATGTTAAGCTCCCACTTGAGGTCCTGGGATATGATGGAGCCCAGGAAGCGGAAGGACTCCACCGCGTCGACGGGGGAGTCACACACAGTGATAGGGGCTGGTGGGGCTGCATTCTTCCTGAAATCCACAACCATCTCCACTGTCTTTAGAGCGTTGAGCTCTAGGTTGTTCAGACCGCACCAGGTCACCAGATGGTCAGTGATACGAGTTATACGACATATGAAGTTACCTCTCAACTTGTGAGGAAAGTCTGGAAGACGTTAAAATCAGGAAGTACAAAGTATAAAATAAATACCCACACTATGCATCATCTTGTTGTTTTCATGGTAACGTGATATGTCCCGTTCATATTCACACCATCTCAAGCCCTCAGTCTCTCACACTCACCCACTCACCAGGTGATGTCAGTAAGTCCCTCAGGGTCTGAGGCTTTAGGGGGGGACATTGGGATTTGGCCATAATAAATCCCAATGTCCCCATAAAGCCTCAAACCCTGAACCCTCACTGACCTCACCTGGTGAGTGGGTGAGTGTGAGAGACTGTGAGGGCTTGAGATGGTGTGAATATGAACGGGACATATCATGTTACCATGAAAACAACAAATATGATGTATAATGTGTGTATTTATTTCATACTTTGTACTCCCTGATTTTAACTCTTCAGACTCTTTCCTCACAAGATGAGAGGTAACTTCATATCATCTATTTACTCATTTGTCAAAACAGCTTCAATGACAAAATCAAATATTTGATGAATAAATGAATAAATATCCTCTGATTTCATGTTTTAATGTTCCATCTTTAACCCTTAATATTTCTGAGTACATTTATTATGACAGGCTGAACACACGTGAGCCGTCTTTGTTTACCTTTTTTTTACGTCTCCATGCGTCCACTGGTTACCCCGTGTTTAACGTCACATTGCAATGATTTGTGGGTAATTCCCTTAGGCTAACCATGCTGACTTATGGAAAGGGTTCATAAAGTAAACAAAATGTCTGAGAGACTCAAATACTTGACGATGTGACAGTGGGACAGCCCTAAACCCTCACGGACTTCGCGGGAGCGCGCCTCAAAGTCCGTGAGTCCGTAAGGGGGACATTGGAGCTGTGTCTCAATTCAGGGGCTGCATCCTTCGGAGGCTGCATTCGTAGACCGGTTGCGTCACAGCGCTGCGACTAGTGCTGTACCATTTCGCATTTTTGTTGAAGAGTCCTTCAATGCAGCCTTCTGGTCCCAGATTTGGAGGACACATCTGATGTATCCTTAGCGGCCCAGCATATCCCAAGATGCATTGCGTGCCGGTGCGCTATTACCGGCAGCTCGGCTGGCTGCATCCGACCATAGTAAGCCTTGTAAAGTAACTTTTAATAACTTCACTTTCAAACCTCAGAGGTTGAATAATATCTTACTGAGTTTGTGATGATTTATACTTTATATCATGTACATAAACGGACCAACGTGAGCTCAGGTAGACAGGTTGTGAACCTGAAATATCACTTTAAGTCCGGTAACTTTTCAAACGTTGAGATTAACTACACGAATACACTGAATTTGAGTATTTTGCTGATTCTGTTCTTGTTTTGTTACAGAGAGCCAGGAGCTGAGGGGAGAACGATGGACAAACATTCAGCAGCCGTAGCTTTGAATTAAGACATTAGTGTTATGTGGTAGTGTAGTTGTGGACCCAAACGCACGCACACAGCAGGTTTACTCCAGCCAAGACTTTATTTAACTGTGCAGGAGGAGTCACAGAAAGAACAAACAAAACAAAGGCTGACTGTCCAGCAAATTAAAGTCACTCCTATAATCTCCACCGGAGTCGGGAGGGAAGCTCAACCGAGGCCGGGACAGGTAGCCTCCGGAGTCGGGAGGGAAACTCGACCGCACTCAAAACTGAAGGAACAGAAAACAAACAGGTCTTCACTGAAATGGGTGTTCAGATTTACGTGACCAGACTGACGACGCGCCGGTGAAACGCCGAGGTATTTAAGTCAGCCTGCGGAGATCACTGGAATGAGCCACAGCTGAGCCTAAGGAGAGAGGCGTGAAGTGGGCGGAACACGGGGGTGGAAACTGTAGGCTGACACAAAAACAAAACATAAGCACATGGCCCACAATAACAAAACAGACAGGGGGGAAAACAGTGGAGCACAAACTAGGAGCAGACAGGGATCCTAACAATTAGTCCATTTGTAATATCTCCATTTGACCATCCTGTACTGAAGGTTACAGTTACATGAGCTCTCATCCTGTACAAAGCCTTCACCAACAACACAACCAGTAGATCCTTCTGATGTGTTCATGTTGCTGTCACAGAGAGGACAGTTGTGACTGTCACCTTTTTATTTTATTTATTTAAATTGACATAAGACATCCATGTAAATGATTTCAATGTGAATATGTATATATTCTGCTGTGTAAAATGTGTCAATCTTCTAAGTTTGCATCCCTGTGTGAACATTATTGATAAATGTTTCTCTTTTCATCAACTTATTTAAAAAATATAAAGTATATGCACATGTGTTACTGAGAGTTAATAAACACGTTTGCTGACATTTGTTTTGCTGCTGTTAATGTTAACTGTCTTGATTGATTTCCTCTGCTTTAGGATTGCTATATATATATATATATGTACATGTAAATATATATATATGTGTGAATGAAATGAAATAAAGTTATTGATCAATTAATTTAATTACCAGAACTATAACTGATTGAAAATTAGTTATTAGTAACTGATTTAATTAACTGATTATTAATATAGAAAAACAATATTATGAAAAATATCTATGAATTAATTATTGAATATATGATAAAAAACTGATTAAAACACTAAACTAAAACCTTTCCAGTAGTTTAGTTTAGTTTAATGTATTTATATGTATATATATTTATAATCCTGTTGAGCAGGGATTTTAGGGAGGGGAGCAGCAAGAGGGGGGCGGGGCGGGAACAGCTGTTGACGCAAACAGGAAGTCCTCTGTGGCATAGGCCGTCTCATTTCGTAGACAGCACGGTCTGGCCTATGCGGTCCTCAAAGGACGTGGCCCACGTAGACCGCGAAGGCTGGGTCCTCTGAAGGATGCAGACCCTGAATTGAGACACAGCTTGGGATTTGGCCAATCATGACTGACAGGTGCCTTCTTGTCTGATCGCTTCCTTATAGTTTGGCCCCGCCCCCTCAGCTGTTGATGACTTCCGGTTCCGGTTATTCTCCGTCCATCAGAAGGAGGAAGATGGCGTCGGCCCAGTCCGACAGAGAGCCTCCGTCTGTTCTGTGTTCAGAGGTCCTCAACTTCTCCGCTAAAGACACCGCATCGGTAAGGGTTAGTTAGTGGTTAGTTAACCCTCACCTGTCACTGCGTCACGAGCTCAATGCTTTCTGCCTAATCTGCTACACGGAGCTAATGCTGAAGCGATCTGTAAAACGTCTGGATGAGGGACAGCTGCTGTGTGTCAGCGCGAGCCAACAGCGTTAACATAACATCTGCTTTGTGTGACGTACGTTTATTTAACGTTAGAACCGTCTGTAAACAGGTGTTCTAGCTTCATGCTCTAAGTCCAGCTACACTTCACTGTTAACGTTTATTTAGCAGAGTACAGGAGTAACAGATTTACCACAGTACAGGTAGAGCAGGTCGTCCTTCAACCAGAGGGTCGGCGGTTCGATCCCTGGCTGTTCCTGTACTGTTTGTGTGAATGTTAGTTGATGTGCAGGTTACCTTGATGGTAGCTCCTCCCACCAATGGTAGCTCCTCCCATTGATGTGTGAATGATGACATGTAGTGTTAAAGAGCTCAGAGTGGTCAGAAGACTAAAAATGAGAAACAAGTATACAGTTAATTTACCATATCTCTCTCCTCTCCTCTCTCTCTCCTCTCCTGCTCTCTCTCTCTCCTCCTCCCCTCTCCTCTCTTCTTCTCCTCTCCTGGTCTGTCCTATCTCCTCCTCCCCTCTCTCCTCTCTCTTCTTCTCCTCCTCCCCTCTCCCCCTCTCTCTCCTCCACTCTCTCTCCTTTTCCTATCTCTCTCCCCTCTCCTCCTCCACTCTCTCCTTCTCCTCCTCTCCTCTCTCCTTGTCCTCCTCAGCAATGGCTGTCAGCAGCCGACCTGCAGCAGGAGGTGTACCGTCATCTGTCTGTGTATGTACCCAGAATCCTTTGCGTGGGTCCCAGTGGAGTAAGCAGCAGAGAGGAGCAGAAGGAGGAGCAGAAGGAGGATCTGGCCTCTCAGCTGCTCCTCCTGGCTCCTCTAGAGTGGCTCCTGTTGGATGAGGAGCCGGCTTCAGGTCTGAACCTCCTGCAGGAGAACAACCAGCCGTCACCTCTGTGTGGCCACGTGTTCAAGGTGGGAGAGCCCACCTACTCCTGCAGGTAATACACACACACTATACACACACTATACACACACTATACACACACTATACACACACTATACACACACTATACTCACACTATATACACACTATATACACGCTACACACGCTATATACACGTTATACACGCTACACACACGCTAAACACTATATACATGCTATACACGCTATACACTATATACATGCTATATACACGTTATACACTATACACGCTATATACATGTTATACACGCTATACACACGTTATACACACGTTATACACGCTATACACACGTTATACACACGTTATACACACGTTATACACACGTTAT